GGAAAGTGACAGCATTTTCTTAGTTATTTGTAACTAAGAAAAGGGTTTAGTGCAATATTGATTGCACTAAACCCTTACTTCTCTTTTTTAGTAAAACTGTTTTGGTGCATCCCTGTGTTTTTAATGCCGTTTCCAGACAAACAAACACAAACTAATCTCTCCTCTACAATCCAGGTGACGTCTCATCAGTTGTGGAAACGGGTTTACAACGCGCTGGGAGGAAACCCCCGAAGCACAAGTGCAGCCACCTGCACACGCAGACACTATGAAAAGTGAGTGCGGTTATCTGCAAGAGCAGTACGACCGGGTGGTTTTATCGCGCTGGAAGCTTTCGTCTGACTCTGCCCCCATTTGTTTAGGTTGCTTCTGCCTTACGAGTGTCAGCTGAAAGGCATATTGATGAGCTCCATGCCGCAACATCAGACGAGGCCCTACCCCAAAGACAATCTAGGCCAGAGGCCGCCCAAACGTGGGCTCTTACCGCTGTCACCGGTTGGTTTCATTTCAGTCATTTTTAGCTGTATTTTATAAGCTAATGATGTGAATCAAGTGGTTCTAATGCAAGGAATAATTCACTGAACTACGTAGGAAGGCTTACTTCTTAATTTACAGACAAGAGAAAGTCTCACTAAGATAATCTCTGATTTTCCCCCTCAGCTAACCCCCTGCTTCCAGTCGGACCCACATGGGAATATCTACTCCCTACCTTTCCATTACTACCCAACTGGGTGGCCAGCTCACCCACTTCTGCCACCTTTTGTGCCTGCTGTAATACCACCACACATCCCCCCTCCTCCGAAGGTCCCACGTCTTCCTTCCTACCCGACTCCTCAGGACCCGGTCAACATGGTCAGCCAGTCTCTAGATCAGTTGCGTAGGCTGGCGAAGGAGTACAAGGACTCAACTGGATTGTCAACCTCTGAACCCCTGAACCTGAGCACAAAAGCTCCAGCTCGAGAGCCCGACACCGACACTGACCCTCCCTCGTCGTTTGGCCCACCTTCGTCCAGCAAGACCCCAAAGTTTCTGAACAAGCCCTCCACGCTCTACAACCCCCTTAGCGCAGGCGTAGTAAGAAGCGACGGAGGCGAGACGGAGGAGTCCGGCGAAGGTGTCCCGACCCTCTCTGAGTCCGAGAAAAAAGAGAGCAGTGACGCCGACGTCCAAGCCCGGACGCCCTCAGACAGCCCCATATTCATTTCTGCTCTGACGCCAGAGACAAACAAAGGCGTCCTCGAGACGACACCGAAAGCCGGCTCTCTGAAAGCAGACTTTCCAGTCCAGCCGCCAGAGGACAGAGAGGCCAGGATGGAAGCGGAGGGTTTCAATCTCAGTCACGTTCTGCATAGGATACCCAAAGGTGAGGAAGGCAAGATGGAAATCGAGGTGCCGCTGTCCGTGGTTCGTAACTGGCTCAGGTTTTACGGTTCTTCGGCGAAGCTGCCCGAAGCGAAAGAGCTTCCCGTCTCCGATTACGACGTCTCTGTGGGGAAAAACCGCATGTCGGATGTGGACGTTCTCCCGACAGGCTACGAAACACCTCGTAGTCCTCAACGCCAGAGCTCAGCTGAAGACCTGAGGCTGAGGAACAAACCAGGACTCATGCCAAACACTCGGGCGGATCACCACCAGGAGAGCCACCTCACCAGCTCCAAGACTTCCGGTGGTCTTCCAAGAAAAGTCGGAGGTGGCCGGAACGCCTGGCCACTCGACCAGCAGGATATCAATAAACCATACAAGCTCAACTCAACAGATTTCTGGGATGCCTGTTCCAAAGAGACGACGGCTCCCCGCAGTCCAGTGAAACCCGAATCCAGTCCCCCGAGAAAGTCTTCCAAGTTCTACATGGAAGACCTGCTGCAGAGAAGGATGCAGAGGTTGGAAGTGGAGCCTTCAGCCATGCTGATGGTGAACTCCAGCCCCACATCCGTGTTTCCTCTGACCACCGACGAGATGAGGAAGCTGCAGACCATCATCTCAAGTTCATCGTGACGATCAGGGAAGGACCCCCAACACCACATTTAAGCTGCCTCCCATTATTGACTCAACTCAAAGTGTCTCATTAGCGTCGTTGCGCATCCGGATGGCGTCTATGCGCCATTAACGAAGAACAGCAGGACGGCAAAGTCAACATTTTGAATGGATACATTGTAATCAAAGTAATTTGCATGATTTTCAGTATTAATGACACAAACATGAGGGAAAACGTGTACGCATTAACATTCTCTTATTCCATTTATAATCTGAAGAGTGATTAGTTTCATTTGTCAATATCTTTGAATAAAATAAGCTCCAGGGGAAATCATTCCTTTTATACTTCATTAACCCAGTGTCATAACAAATATCAGAAAATGGAGATTAAAGTCATGCATATTCAGAAGTAAAAGATTTTTACTATCTTTTATTCTCCTTAAAATTAAGAGATTATTCTTTTTTTACATTTGGAATTTACTGTAAAGATGTAAATTAATTTTGTCTATTTTTTTAAACTAAGCTTTTTATTTTTTCCTAATGCTATTTTTATTTTTTTTTTAAATATTACCTATTTTAATGAAATGTCTGAAAAAAAAAATGAATGTAATTTAACAGATGAAATTAAAGGCACAATGTAGCAGAATGTGCTTTGAAGAAAATGCCTTCATTGACATTTAATTATCCTGTAAATATATATGACTTGTACATATATTTGATTGTGAAAATCAAATAAATTACATTAAAAATGTGAGTGGCTTGCTCGTCGAATCAAGAACTTGTTAGTAATGTTGTTTTTTTCACTGTCTCTTATTTTGCTTTGCATACTTGTGTGACGGCTGTGTGAAGTGTGTGCCCGCACAAAGCAATAAAAACAAACTGCATATTTTTCTGCCAGCGGTTAACATGATAGCTCTGGGGAATTTTTTTTTTTTTTTTTTTTTCTCTCTCTCTCGGGGGTCAGCCTGGGAAGTTGCTTTGATTCGTTTGGTGCGAGGAAGATCTATACATAGAAATCAACACTTAATTTAGCCACAGCGAAAGAAAGAAAAAAGGTTTTGATGCAAGAAAGCAAATATCTGGATTAAGATCTTGGTGACTTATAGGCAAAATCAGATTGTACAAAGTACAGTATAAAAAGTTTGAATTGGTGTGACAATGCTAGCTAACTATAGCAAACATTAATGTATACACCTTAAAGAACCTAATTCCTTCCATTCCTTGGAAGCATTTCTGTACCTTTTTTTTATATATTATATGAAACATTTAAAGAAGAAATTCCCCTGCATCAAGCAAACCTTTTTTTAAATTATTTTATATTATTTCTGTTTATTGTCTGAACACTGGCACGACACGTGCAACCTGTTGCTTTACTGTCCGGGCCTCGGATACAAACTATCTCATCCAAAGTGAAAACGTGCACAGATCTGCGGTGCGACAACAACATGCAGGCAGAGGCGACACACCCTGGACTGTAACCGAAGACGCGTTTGCTGACGTGACAGACGTATTGTTTTATCACACTCCATTACGACCTGCGCTTCAGACTCTCTCGGGTGAATTGAGCTTTAAAATCATTAGCAGCAGAAGTGACCAGGAGAAAACTTTTACTGCTCATGATGTTAAACACTTCTCTGATCTGGTGACGTCTTCAGAAGGAACCCAATTATCAATGAGATAATGGCTGCGTACAGGTCCTGACAGGCATTGTATTGTCACTTCAGTTAAGTTGTTCCTTTGCTGATCATCAGTCCACGGGCCCGTTTATACTTCAGGTTTCATTTCTGTTGCAGAAAATTCCCGAGTTTCTTGTAATGAAACACGAGCTGTAAGCTTAAGAACACAAATGGTTCAAGGAAGATATGTTACATCAACAATCTATAAAAACTCCATGTCCTATATTGATATTGTAGAATTAAGCATATCGAATGCTTAATTCCAGAGCTATAAAAGTAATGCGACTAGATGGTGTTTCTGATGCAACAGAAACACTTTTTTCTCATCGCACAAGTCACATGATCAAAACCTGGATGCCACTGGTGCAAACTCAGCATTACAGTGGAAACACTGTAATTGCAGAATTGTGTTTTTTGACACTGGCGGAATATTGACAAAGTTTTGCGCACGTTTGTAATGGGAACGCGGCTGCTGCTTAGACTAGATGTGCACTGCGCATCACCTACAAATCATCATTTCATCCCTGCAGTTTGGAAGAGAGAACCTTACAATGTGTGGCTGTTGTATATTTGAAGAAAAGATGAATATAGAAATTTACCGGGACTTTCTTGACCAGAGAACAAAGGTGGGGGAAAAAAAGGATGGATTTTCCAGCAAGACAGTGATCTGAAACTCAAAAGACAAGAAAATCGTCCAACCGATTTCAAAACGCTGCCTCAACGGCCCAGTCAGTCACCCAACACGACTCCATTAGGTAATCTACAGAGAGAACAGGATCAGATCAGAGTGCATGGAAGATTTAAAGAGAATGGATCAAACTCACGCCCAGTATGAGGCATTAAAAACATTTCAGTAAAAATGTTTAATAATTAATCCCTGCATCATTCAGCTTCACTGCACATAATTTGATCTGTGGAATTTTGTTTTGATTTCTCCTGGTGTGCGGATTAGCTGGGCTGCCACCGAGATACGGTTTGAACTTTATTCACCGTTTCTTTATTTTTATATTTCCCTGCAGTGTGTCAACAGCATTCCACAAGGTCTCACTTAGGATACAATATAAACAATGCATCGAAAAGCTAGGTAGTCAGACAGCTACTATGCAGCGCTTGCCAGTGGGTGGGGTGATGTCAACTTACGGTAAAAAAAGATTAAATAAAATGTTTGTCTCGTGAGTCAGCCCGAAAGCAGCCAGACTGTGCTTTGGTTTCAGGATGAGAGTCTGAAAGCTGCAGGGTGACATGACAGAAGGCTTTATTTATAGCTAATCGGAAAATTTACTGCAACAAACATAAAGAAATGAGAAGGATGGTTCATGTGCACAGCAAAAAAAAAACAAAAAAAAAACTGACTAGATTTTGAAGCAACTTGGTTTGTTTGCTCCGGTTCACCATTTTTATTTTCATAACACAAATGATAACATATTTGTAGACAAATGTACCATTTTCTGAAACTTAGCTAGTATTTTTTTTGTGACCGACTTTCTTTTTTGTTTTTTTATTCATTTCTGAATTTGCAAACCAACATTCAATGAAGTCCTGGATTTGCGTACGGGTAGAAAAAAAACCAACAGTAGGAGCCGTTACAGTGCGCCTGGCGTCCTTAAAGAACGAGCAGCATTCATCATGCTCTTGTCCATTTCGACCAGGTTTTAAAAAAACCACAGGCGAGGAGAACGGGAGCAATCGTCTGCCCGCCGCTGTATCTCTGTCAGGATGATTAATAGCTGGAAAAAAGAAGAAGAAAAGAAAAATGGTCACTGAAGTTGAGCGCTAAACAATGAATTAGTGTCCTGAATTGACACTAAAGAGGCCTTGCCGAGGCCAGCCTGATTTATTTCAGGCTTTTTAAATGTCCAATTTCTGTCCCGGCTGCTTAGGCAAACGGCATGGTAGATTTGGCAGAATATTTTTTTGCATATTTAATTTCACTCTGCAACTGGGTCGTGCAGTAAGGAACACAAGCCACAGTAATTATACACACTTTTTTTTTTCCCCCCCAGAGTAAACGTTTGACGGCAGCCATTGCCGCCAACAAGACTCAGTCGGTTACCTAAAATGGCCCGATTGACTCCAGTAGCCATTTTTTCTCCACACTAAAAAAAGTCTATACTAAAGACTCCGTTGTTGTATTAACTTGAGGTTGTCTTCGTCTGATATTAACTTTTTTTTTTTTTATTCGATGACCTGAAATACGTCTCCCATATATGCCGAGTGTAATGCGTCGGTGAATGTGTGTCGACACGAAGGTGGAGAAAGCGAGGACTCCTTCACAAACGAGTGACGGGTGGTACGGGACAGACGGGGTCCAAGATCAATATTTTATTTACAGATATTCAACAGTCCCTGCACAACTCGAAGGAGGAAGGTGTAAAGATGCAGGAACTTTTTTTTTTCCCTTGTGGTTTGCACACACCCCACTTAACAATCCTGTCTTCCATTAAAAAAAAAAACAACAACAAAAAAAAACACACCACACCACCCTGACAGTTGAAACTATTCAGACAGATACTTCTCAAAAACCACAATTTGCTCTCATGTGGGGATTTGCAAGAATGAGGATATGAAGCAGCTTTTTTTCCCCTTTTTTTTAATGGCGTGATGACACAGAATCTGATGAATCACTCTGACCAGGATGTCGGCTTCTGTCCATCCGTTTAATGGAGCGTTTTGCTTTGTTTTAGCGACGAGCCAAGCAGGAGATTTCCAACATCATCTGATTATTCAAAGATAAGATCAGAATGCGGCGCTGTCGTATTGTAACCTCGTAAAATTAGAAATATAAATTTTAGATTTAATATACCTGGGATTAAATAATGTTTTGTGTATGCCACATCGATTTTCTTATTTTTTTTTTTAATCAGAGTTTGGTGCACAGATTGTATCACATCTTCTTGGAAATATTGTTTTGCAAATACGGTATTTACTTTTCCATAAGACAGAAATTCAAAACTGAAAAATAAAAAGCCAAACAAAACATATAAATTGATTGTAATTTTTATTTTTATGCATTTTTTTTTCTGACTGGCAGAATGACAAAGTGTCAAGGCCAGACCCAACAGGTTTACTCTCACAAGTAGAGCATAAAAGCTTTTGCCGAGATGTACAACTATTAGAAATGTAATGGACACACGAAAAAGGAGGAAAAAAAGGGGGGAAAAGAGGTTTAGCAGGAATAGAGAGAACAAGTCGCCCTTGTGCTCTCTCTGCCTCTTACTGTTTGCTTTATTTTGCTGAAATGACTCACAGCAGAACACACTCTGGTGGAAATGAGTATATTCAAGGTGAAGCGAGGCCATTGTTGTTAAAGCCGAACTTTGCTGCCGTGACCCATTGTCGCCTCGCATATATCAAATATCAAACTTTGCGGTTCAACCTGTTCTGTGTGACGTCTTGTGACCAATCGCTGGATTTCTCTCTGTGCATCTTGCAGTCGAACAACAGGCGTCTTTCTTTCCAGACTTAAACTTACGACTTTTGTTTGCCGCCCTGTGTAACAACTTAAATTATAGGTTTGTTTTTTATGCGCTGAGTTACAAAGTGCTATTATGTTTCGGCTCAGGAGGCGTTTGTCTTGCCCGGCCTCGGTGACATCACTGAAGGAATGTCAGTGCTGACCTAAAAAAAAAAAAGGTCAATCATCTTCATCAACGTCCACTTATGTCATTATTGTGAATGACATAATTAAGCTGTGATAACATGGTATAAAAAATATTTGTATATTATTGGGATGGCATCTTAATTGCTATAAATGGCAAGACACAAATGATGCAATCAAGCTTTGGCCGTTGTCACAAAGATGGCAAATTATCTTTCCGCCGCGGCTCGAAAAAGCGTTCACTGTTTGTCACATCACAATTCAGTGGATCTCATTGGTACTCGTGATCCAGCAACATGAAGCAGTGTGATTTTGTGAAGTGGACAGAAAATTGTTTAATGTCTTCCAATTTTGGTGTATAAAATTCTGAAAGGTGTGGCATGCATTTATAGCTAGCCACATTCTACGTTAATAAACCCCAAAATAAAACTGCCTTCAGGAGTCACAGAATTTGTAAACTGACTAGACATTAACCTGTTCATGCATGAATTATGATCCTTTGTGTCAGGATTTTTTAAAAGTTAAGAAAAAAATTCTGTAAAACTTTTTTTTTTTTCTCCAATTTTCTCCAAATACAAAGTTACTTGAAAAACACTTCAGTAGTATTGTTCTTTAGGGGTTATCTGATGTCACAATATTTTTTTTTTTTACCTGCAAAAGTCGTCTACAGTAGAAGAAAATTATTTCTTGCATTTGCAGCTGATGGTCAGTAGTTGATGGTGAATTTTATGATGCATTAATGTCCACTTCACTGGTCTGTGTGCATGTATAACATAATTCACAAGAAAATGGCTTTTAGATACCTGTCCACTGTAGTGACCACTATGCATGAAAAGGTTAATACATCAGTTATATATATATATATATATATATATATATATATATATATATATATATATATATATATATATATATACACACACACACACACACTTTTTTTGGCAACATTAGTGAACAAATACAGAGAAGAGGAAAACAAACATACCAGACAGTCCTGGGATGTACTAGCTGAAAGGTCTAGAGTGTTATGTTATAAAATCCTCTAGGGTTTTGTAATCTCTGTGCACGTCATCTCCCCGTGCACAGAGATGTTGTTGTGTTTTGGAACCAGATTGTTATCTACAGACTTGTTCCTCGTCTTATTCAACTTTAAAGTGTCTTGAGGCCACCAGTTGTTCCAGCTGAGATAAAAAAAAGCATTTAATTTTGAAAAGAATCAGAGCTGCGCACAGTCGTGGCCTCTGATATTTTTGAAAAGTTTGGTTTCGACAGGCTCTTTCTTTGAGACCATGAAGCGATAACGTGAAGACGAGCCGGCACAGAACTGAAATAAAAAGACAGACCTGATATTCAGGCTGCAGCTGTCGGAGCTTTTTTCCTTTCCTGCTACTCATTCTGATAAACAGGTCTCTCAGTTTACAATAATAGGAACGGAAAGTTCTCCAACAATGCTGCTTTCATGAGACTGTCAGCCTAGGCTTACTGACGGTTAAATATAGAAATCCTTTTTTATGTAATAAAAATGCTTAATATAATACTAAACCAAGTCATCTGGAAGCAGTAAAACGTGGGAAACAGCTGCAATGATGAGTTCAGAGCCGACATGAAGCGTCTTTAAATCCTCTGACTCTGCTAAAGGAAAACAGACACATTTTCTTCACTTACTGAATAGGCAATAATAATTAAATCAGGTTGGTTTAATTTCAATATTTATTTTTCTTTGTTTTCATTTTTGATCATAAGCCTCATAAAAAAAAGAGGATATTAATAAACAAATTAATGAGGACCAAGAAACACTCCAGAAAGTTGAGAATTTGTGGTTTTTTCTCTTCATAAAGTCATGGCAAACTGAATAAAATCGTTCCAGGCCTGGGTGTGCCTTGTAAAATTGAACTTTTCTGTCAAAAATTATGGGTATAAAAATGAGTACCCATGGGGTGAATTTGCATGACACCATCACTTGAAAATTGCTTCCTGAAGTAATATTTGTCTGGTGTTGAGATTTGCTGGATGACAGTTTGACGTTCGTAGATTTACTTCATCAAATCTCACTGAGTTTGGGCTATTTTGGAAAAATAAAAAATATAACCATTTTGTGCATGTCCAAATACCCGTAACAAATTGAGATTTGTGGTTGTGTCAAAAAAGTTAAAGACGCATGACTGCATTGCCAAAGCACAAATTACATTTAAGATTAATAATAAATTGGATCTTAAGACGCATTTCAAACCAGTGACTAAAATATGACCTTTTACGTCTTTGTGAGTTGATTCAAACCTTAGATTTGTCTCAATTCCTGCATGTTTGTACGATCAGAATCAATTATGCTCGGTGTTGGAATGTTGAATGGATTGTTCTTGGAAGTGTTTTTACCCTAAAAAAAGAAAAAAATCAGATTAGACCTGAGCCAAAGTATGAGGAACATGTATGTGGAGGATCATGTTACATGATTATACCATATAGAATGATTGCCTCTACTTCTGCAAGTACTTGTACGGCTTATTTAATGGCAATATATATATGCAACATTACACTCATCAGGTGAGGATTCAACTACTGAATACAGTGAATTTGGCTCCTGCATTGCCTTTGGAATGACGTTTGGTTTTTCTTGGCTCTGTGGGTCTTTTTTTTTTTTTTTCTTCTGGATGGCAGGAGATTACATTACATTCATTCCATTATAGTTGATCAACCATTGTATCGTAGGCAGCAAGCAAGTTTGTTTTTTGTTTTTATTTTTAAAGAGGAAAAAAAATTAGGGGGGGAAATTTTCAGATGAAATATGAGGAAACGACAAGCTGCCGTTGGGTGATCTTTCTCTACTCGTTTGTTCAACATCGACGCTTCTGAAACAAATTAGTTTGTTTTAACACATCTCAGGGATACGCCTTCTATATGCATCACTGGCACCAATCGACCCGTGTCGATTGGTGCCAGAATAGGCGACTGGCCTATTCTACATTGGCCAGTCGCCAATGTAGAATAGAATATACTTTATTGATCCCCAAGGGGAAATTGCTTATTTGTTGAAAGCTACTCCATCTTCAGTAATAAATAAAAAGTTTGTAAAAAAAAGATTATATATATATATATATATATATATATATATATATATATACCTAAGAGTGATAAGTTCAAAATGACTAGATATACTGTAAACAAATAAATAAATAACAATCAATCACGTGCAATATATTAATCAATAACCTATAAATGAGCTCAAAAAGAAAAAAGCTTTCAGTCGGCTTTGGACTTATGAAACCTGTTCAGCCTCGGAATCGACATTAATGTGGAGATTTCAAACTATGTGGAACCATTGATTAGATCTGCTGCAGTTTTGTTTTGTGTTTAAAGCCACAAATCAAGCAAAAGAGAAACAGAAACGATGCATGCAGAAGGTTAGAGGAAAAAAAAAAGTTTTCTGCTGTATCGCTTTTAATAAATAATTTTCCAATCCAGGAAGAAAATAGAAACAGGGTGTGACTTATTCCCCTTCCACATCCAAATCCAATCATATCCAGACTATCTTGTTTAGATTCCCCCTGTGTATGCGTGTGTGTGTGTGTGTGTGGGGGGGGGGGGTTTGTTTTTGTTCCCCCCCCAGGCTTTGGTTCACTGTCGACTCCCACAACCACAGAAATCCCAAGCGTAACAATCTCTTCCAGACATCTGTAATGTCGGACGGTAAGTGGAAATTTCTACTTTGAAACTCGCATTTTCAGCACGTTAGGAGACATTTTTTCTTTTAAGTTTTAAAGTGGGAAATAGAGCAGCTCACAAATTTGATTAATATGAAAGTAAGTGAAGCTGAGAAAGCACCTCGTGTTCAGACATTTGAAATAAAAAGGTGCACATTGGGAATTAATCTCTTAATATTTTGACATATTTTGTATGAACTGAAAATTCAAATTTTAACATTGGGTATTTAGCCAGGAACAGACTTTCTACCTAAATTTACTGAAAGTGCAAGCAGGGAAAATTTTAAACAATCTCCGTTTGGTGTGAGCTGTGACCGTCCAACAAGTGATTGTGCACGTCAGCTGAGCGTCGAGAGGATTTTCTGTGATTTATCCTGAGAGCAGAAACAGAAGCAGTAGTTTGACTGCTGCAGCCAATCATACCTTTCGCTGTAGTAAGAGGACAGCAACGTTCGTATCTCATGAGACAAATCTGGAATGGCAGGACTCTTTCTCGGAGAGGAGGGTGTTACTGTAAAGGAAGTGGAAGATGGAGATAATAAATCCAACAATCAAACTCAAATCTTTCAAGTTCAACTCGCAGTGCCAGGAAACACTTGAAGGCAATGAGAGACGACTGATACGAGGAAGTTTGAGAAAGGTTTTTTTATTTTCTTCCCCCGCTTCCTGCCCTCTCCTCCTTCCCGTCACATTAAAACTCCGAAACATCTCTTAACCACAAACATGTTACATATATTTTGATTGGCATGACTGACGTCTCTGTCAGCAGGTGAAAGCGATAACGCGGTCCGTCCTGACGACAGCGTCTGACATTCTGTCCCGGGACATTTATGGGTACTCCTGTTATTCACTCAGACTCGTTTGTCCACTTTCAGGTCTGGTTTCTCCCCAACTTTGTTGGTGAGAAACACTGAACCTTTGAGTTTTGTTTTGCTTTTTTTCTGTCTCAATTTCTGGCATGAAAGAACAGGCCCGATTGTTGAAGCAGTCATTGTAATATCAATGCGTGTATAGATGTGAAGATTTAAGTCTCCGGCAATAAAGTTGCTTTTGAACTGGCGTTTTACGGGCAATCTGGTTTTTACTAATTCTGCTCGTCTCTACTTGATCTGTGCGGCTACATAAATTTAATATTTCTTAATAATGGGGAAATCTATTCAAAAATCATATTGCTAAAAAATTTTTTAATAAAATCTTAATTCAAATACAGAGATTAAATATTCTCAGATGTTTTAACTGAAATCTCGATACAATTTTGCAATAATTTTGCCATATTAGTGTTTTAAATCATTTTATCAGCTGCTTTCATTTACTTTGCACCTCAAAAAAAAAACAACTGTATTTAATATTAGTACTGAATTGGAAACAAGAAAAGCTGATAACTAATTCACTGGGTCTTTGAGTCAGAGGCTGGCAAACTAGAGACAGAAATCAATATTTCAAATTAATGTGGAAACAGAAAATTAAGAGGAAAGCAAATATTTGGACTCGCTTGTCAACTGCACAAAACCATAATCTTGGATTGATTGTATGAAAACAATAAGTCTAGTGCTTGTTGATTATTATATGAAGAAAAGTCTCTTGCTCTGGTCCCAATGTGTCAAATAGAAAAGCCTGTAAAGTAGTTGATTTATGACTTTTACATCTTGAAGATTTATAATTACATTTTTTTAAGCTTTCTGAATGAACTCAGTTGATTTTACAAAAACAACATTTTCTCTCTCTCCGACATTAAATCAAACCAGGCGATTCCTGTTCTTGGTTCTGAAGGATTACCATCACATTTGCTAAATGCCTGAATGAGACAAAAAAAAAAAGTTCACTTTCTTAAAAGTTAGAGGTTTACATGCCCTAATCTCACCATTTTATGCCTTAGTTTAGCTTAGTTGCACACAAATATGGATACATTTTAGGATAACGTGTCGCTGTTCACCTTTTAGTATCATTTTCAGATTTCTGATAGTGTCACATTCATCTGTTCATCTGTCCAAAAACAAAATTTTACCAAGACATTTTGGTCCAGCTTCTAGTGCAAAATATCTTGGTATACTTGAAATACTAAATCTAACATACAAGTAATTTTAGCTACATATGATCATGTTCTAAGTCGATTATTCCTTAATATTGATGAAAAAGTTCTTGTTCCATTGGCAGATAAATTCACTTAGACATTTTTCTCATGTTATAAGTGAAATAATTTGCCATTGGAACGAGTACTTTTTTAAGATTATGAAGACATCTTGGTGAAAAGTTACATATCCACGTTAGTTTTGCCTTATTTCAAGTGTACTTGGATATTTGCACTGGAAACTAGACCAAACACACTTGGTAAGATGGTGTTCATACCTGCATACACTGCAAAAACTTAGCGTGGGTGTTCAGCATTCACATGATTCAGGAAGCTTGAGCACAAGTAAGGCCTTCATTGTGGATGCCCCTTATATCACCAAATTAATTACAACGTGTTTTATCCATAAAAAAAGTCAATGTCTTGGAGTGGCCATCGCTAAGCTCAGCTCTCTCAGAACTGCATTTATACTGAGATTACGTCAGACAGCATTGGAGTCATTTTAATTGAATTTAATTCATGTCTGAAGGAAAATGGTAGAGCAAAGTTTCATTTAGGGTATCAGTAAAAGGGGCAGACAAAAACTGTGTACCACACACAAAAATGTTTTAGGACCATGCACCATTTTCTTTCAACGGCACAATTCTGTGTGATGTTTTCATACATAAAAAAAAACTGAAAATACATTGAAATATGTGGCTGTTGCATAAGAGTTAACTTCTAGAGGTATGAATACTTTCGAAATGCACTGTAAACGTTGACATTGTCTTTATCAGACGTTTGTCTGCCGACAGGGCGATGGCAGCGACTGCCGTTTCAGCTCGTCTCCATAACAGTAAAGTAAATAACTGTGCAGCTGTAAAACACACACACACGCACGCACGCACACACACACACACACACAAAAACAACTCCAGTGTTGTCGATTTAATGTGTTGGCTCAAATCAAGGATGCATTTCATGGCATCTTTTCAAGTCTTGTTTTCTGTACTGGCATCGGATCAGAGGAAAATCTCAACAAAAGAACAAAGCAAGAGGAAATTAACTCAATTAAAAAAGAATGCATTAACTAATCATTTTGAAAGAGGAGGAAAAATAAAATCACCTCCAAGAAAAACACCTGAAATCAGAGGTTTTCAAGCATTTCTGCGTCATCCCAGAAATGCTTGAATGCAGCAGCGCCGTTACGCTTTTGGAGACGTTACCCATTTCGTGAAACAGAGATCCCTGCTTGGCCGCTTTGGGTTTCCTGGACCTCGGCGCCTCAATCTTCATCACCTCATCGCAACACCGTTTCCACTGACCTGAAACAGCCCAAGTCGGCGATTACACATGTCGTAATACAAACCAAGATGTATTCATTAACAGCTTTTCGTAATTATTCAATCATAATTATGTCGGCTTTATTCGTCGCTGTGCCAGAGTAGTCAAGTTTTCGTTATACCTGCTGTACCACATGTCAGTCAGGAGGCCCAGAGGATGAAAACACACACACGCACGCACACACACGTGATATTTTCAGTTGTTCTGTCTTTACATTTCCATCATTCATTGTAGTGACAGATTAGCAGCAGCAATTTGTTTTTTGTTTTTTTTAGGCTTCAGCAAATTTGTGCTCATCACAAAGCAGCTTATTTTATGTCAACTAATAAAAGTCCAAGTCTAATGTTCTGTAAGAGGCAGCAGACTGCTATAGTCAGATAAACCAATCAAAAGCATTTTCAGCCATTTTGTTAGCAGCACAGACCCTTTTTGGTTGATAAATGCATCAAAGTCTTTAGTGGACTTTGTTTTGCTACTTCAGCAACATCCTAATTATTTATGGCTGGTCTTAAAACTAGACCTGCCCTAAATAATGAAGGTAACAGCATAATTCTTGGCACGTGAAAATTAAAGTGTCCAGTTTCTAGGTGTGGAAGTTAAGGACTTAAAGTTTTAGCACAATATTTTGTGGCACTGTTATAATAATGACGAAAGTGACGATAAGAACTATTTGTTACGCCCGAGATAACTATACGGCTAAGACTGTTTGTGGGGCCAACAATAATGGCCCCTCAAACAAATACTGCTCTGTAGGAACATTCCCATTGGAAATACTTGTCTTTAGGACACTAGTCACACTGTGAAAAATTGCAAATTTGTTGGCATTTGATGCTTTTATTGAACAAACGGCGCAGAAAATAGTAAAACTAATACTAATACTCCTGACATTAAGGAGACTTTTTCGAGGGTTTAAACATCAGTACTTAGAATTTATTATGACAAAGATAAATGAAAATTCTTACCATGAAGAGAAAAACATTATAATAAATGAAATAATATGACAGGTTTCTACATTTTTGCACAATGAGGGTTAAAATTGAACCTACCAACACTTTACATCCCCCTGAAAACGGCGACACATTGTCAAGTTGGAGGGCAGAAAGACAGAAACCTAAAAAGATTTAACACTGGGGCAATTGTTTACCTCCTGGCAGAATGATGCAAGATAGACAATGATCTACTTCATGTGAGAAAACTCAAAGACTCTAGATGTGCAAAAGTGTTAGGTGGTTCTACAAAGTATCAAGTAGAACAAACACCAATCGGGCTTTTCTGCGTAAAAACCTTTGAAAACTATCCACCATGCTGCCAAAACACAAAACCTTATCAAGTATTTTTAGTAGTTTTTAGTGCACTTAAAATAAGACTGAACTAATTCACAAGTGACTTTTCAGCAAGAAATAAGAGCTTGGCTCAAGTCAATAATTCCTTATTATTGATAAGACAGATTAGAAAATGAACTGAGATTATTTCACTTCTAATAAAACATTTTTCCCCGTCAGTGAAATAATCTGCCAGTGGATGTAATACTTTATCAATATTGAGAAATTATTTACTAAAATCAAGCTCCTATAACTTGCTGAAAAGTTGCTTATAAGTTAGAACACTTGGAATAAGACAAAATTAAAGTAAATAAACAAAATAAATAAATAAATCATTACTGTTTAAACTTTACCTTTAATAACATAAAGTTGCCTAATTTTTAAAGTGCAATCAATAATACTTTTATAACAAATTTATATCAGTAATGATTTCCTGGTTAATGTCAAGTTGTCATAACAAAGACATTTTGAATAATGTCAACTTTGTATTAAAAGTGTCATAATTTACCGAATGACGCTTTATGACAACAGTCATAAATATTCATGAAGGCTTATTCATGTTCATGACTTGTGTTATGTCATGTTTATGACAGTGTCATGTCAGTCTTATTCAACCCCCTTCAAATAAAGTGTTACCAAACTTTGTGTTCACGTTTGCTTCGGTACCTATGAATTCCAGTAAGTTCGTCGGTTCGCTCCAAAATTCCCCTCTGCTTAGTTCCCTTACGTGACCACAACCCCCTCCACTGCAGCGGTTAGAAACCAAAAACCTGCTTTCACTTTGCTAATAATAGCCCAAGAAGCTTTCATAACAGATAAGAGCTTAAGATAAACAAGATTTATTTTTCTGACAGATAATTTCCTTAGTCCCAGTCTTACTCAGGCTGTAGACATGTTGCTGGAGGGCCTTGATCCAGCCTGGCAAGTCGTCAGCATTCTGGGTGGTAGCTGCGCAGGTCGCATTCCCTCTTTGAGGCTGCATGCTAATGCTAATGCTAATCTGCAGCCCGTGGACAGGATCGCTCTCACACGTACACACGTTGGTATCCTGAAGCGGAAAATAAATAAAATACACACACTGTGTAAGTTTCATATTTAATTTAGATTTCTCAGATGTTCTCTGTAAGAACATACATTAATATTATATTTTGGTTAAAAAAAAAATAAAATAAAATTATACACACACACAAACATCTCTATAGGTCTAAATTCGAGTCAGCTAAGGCTCAGGGCAAATGTTCTCTGATAAATCCCAGAGGCCTTCACAGACCAGCTGTATTTATGCTGAGATTAAATCACATACAGGTAGACCGTTTACTGTTTGAGGGACTTCGCTTCAATGTGTTGACATAGATTTCATTTAAGGGCGTTGGCCCAGTCTGTTACCATGATGCTGCCAGCATCATGTTTCACGCAGTGCTTGTTTCTTTTTTTTTTTTATTTTAGGTCAGTTATGGTTTAATTTGGTCTGTCCTGACCAGAGCCCCTTCCTCCACATGCCAGTTTGTCTTTTTGTGAAAGAACTGGGAAAAGTTCAGGTAACAAATAAACACTGTGGATTGCAGGTGCATCCTTTACCAGGAATGGAAATTTGAGTGAACTTCCTCTTCATCTCATGAGACATGACAGGATCGACAGGCATTTGATGGTTTCTTGAGCCGGGTCACATTTTACCACGTTGGAAAAACGGGCTTGGTGGAAGAGTACAAAATGAAAATACAATGCGATGGAGGGGGTGAGGGAGCTTGAAATACAATCTTTTGTTTCACTTTTTGATGTCAAATTGTAAACAGCTTTTGGATATTGCAATGATAAACATATTTAGCATGTCTGAACTTCATCTCAAGCTTAACATTAATCAAGATCGGTCATCAGGAAAGTGTTTAATGCTCCAAAGCTAAGAGAAAACATCCATTTTGCATTTTTCCAACGAACATGACAACGATGATGGGGGGGAAAAAAGCACTGAAAAATCCTGTATCCACACGTAAAAGACATTTGACATGAAATCAGAATTAGACGAGTAACATAATATGAGCCAAAACACAGTTTTTTTTCCCCCCTTTCCTGTTTAACAGTGCCTGGCTTTTCCGAGCAGCTTGGCGAGCAGCAGGTTATGCCAGTCTGTGATTGATGAGGAGGGATCCGACTGCCCATGCTGAATGAGTGGCCTCGCATTCAACACGACAGCAATCGATGTATAAAAGGTTTATTTCCTCTTCAGAAACTTACAGGAATCAGAATATTCCACTCGCTGATCAAATTAAAAGTAACTTTTGAAAATAACCTTTAAGCAGGTATTAAAAACTTTTTATTTATTGTTCTGGTGTAATATTTTAATCTTAAATATCATGTTTGTATCAGCCCTAAGCAGAAAATCATCATGATTAACAAAAATAAAAGCTTGAAAACAGTTTGTATAGTGTTTCACTTACTAAAGTTAAATTTACAGTAATATTCTAGATTACTGAATATGATTGCCTAGGATCATCCAATACGTTGAATATGATTGCACGTTGGAATGCACTGTATTTATACAACGTACAAATAACTTGAAGAAAAACAAAACCTCCCATCTTTGTGCAAAGTTGTTGTCTCATAAGCAATAAGTTAATGAACCATATTAAAAGAACATTTCCTCTTCACTCTCACTTCCTCATAATTGTTTTTGTTTTTTTTGGTGCGCTGGCATTTACCAAAAATAAATGTATAACGAGATCCACCTGCAAAGGGGGAAACAAATGTCTCACAAGGAACAAGATCTGATAAATTGTCATTATCTAAGAGAAGAGTCAGGTGGATTTTTACAGATGCGGCCGTCTGCAGGTTTCTGGTTTAAACTGGTCCTCTTGACGTCACTGGTTTCTGGTTTATCCAAAACTGTACAGATTAACCATGAGATTATTTTCTCAAGGCTTTTTTTTTTTTTTTTCCCTCGTCTTCCTGCAGGCAGCATCAGTCAGACGTGCTGTCCAAACTCGAGGTGTTATATATATATTATATATATATATAGTTTTCTAAACCAGTGGTTATGTATGCACAACTGAAATAAATACTATTTTACGTCTGAAAAGTCAGCGATCAAAGTTAGAGGAAACATGGCTCACCTTTCATCAAGATTAACTCTGCAAAGAAAATTGTCAAAAGCCAGACATTCAGAACCTATATTTGTGTTTCGACGCAATAAAAAAAAAAAAAAAATCCATGAAACTGAAACACCGCAACATTGTAATTAAAAATCTTAACTCCTCTGAGCCAATGTTGGCTTATCATTGGGGTTTTAGCCACATAATAGTCCAAAGCATACTGTAAATCATTATAGGACCAAAATCTACTGTGGGTTTAAAGGAGGGATGGTGGCTGTACAATCTCTCTAGATCACCTAAAGAGGAATGGTGAACGATCTGCTCTGTATCCTTTCATCTTGTGAAATGATTTTGAAGTTTCAACATTTTTTGCACTGTGTGATTATCCAGGTGCAATATTGATAAATGTAGTTATTTAAATAGGGGTCCCTATAACACACTGTGGCTTAGTTTAGAAGTTATTCCATCATATTTATAGTACAAGTTACACCGTCACAAACGCCCTGCAGCAGTGCCTGAGGAAAAACTGCAGAGGGCTTAAAATTACACGTCGCAAGTCGAAGCGCTATGAATCAGTAGACTGGAGCTCAGACTGGTTTTTCCTCAACTATGAATGAATGGTTTGAGGTAAACAACTTTATTTCTTTACAAACCAACATTTAAAAAAAATTAATAAATGAATGTAGCTAAAAAAACAGATGGCTCGTGTAAATCTCCGTTTTGATGAACATGTCACTGGGTGCAATTAGTCAAGTCCTGTTGTTGAGGATTCATTTTTAATAATCAACTACACAATTAATCCAAGACGCTAATAGACTTCAAACATGAATGTTTAAGGAAAGTAAAGGGAGGTTTTGACTTTCTGAGGTTCTAAAAATATGCTTGTGCACAGCTATTGGGCAAATGTTGCTTTACATAATGATCATGCAACTAAATGAAAACCTATTTTCATCTCTTAAAAGCAACAGTATGTAAACTACAAAAAACATTCCCTTCACATATTTGTCATTATGTCGTGACAGAATGGTATGACAGATAATCTGAACTGCTACTCTGCTGTCTCATTGACGACTCGTTGCTTCCCCGTTTCCCTCTGCTATATGCTACAGCCGGTGCAGCGCAGTATAAGTTGATGAGTTCAAGGTAACGTCATGCTTCTTGTCAAATCTTCTGCAGTTACTTTGCATCTTCGATTCTCAACACGTTTCTTGTCACCCTATTGACTGTCTGTGACAAAACGTTGGGTGGTTCTGTGATCATGTTCCAGTATCAGAGCAATTTCAAACGAGACGTTTGGTCCTGTAACTGACTCAAAGGGGGGGGGAAAAAAAATCTCTTTTTTGGTCCATTTTGCCAAAAGACAAGAAGTTGACTCATATATACACATTTTGATACGCAGGGCATCGATCTCCTTCTTTCACATTCTCCCTGCTACGCTTGAATCCATTAGGCATTGACATTTATCCAGCTTGGAGTTAGAAAAAAAATGCCTAAAGATAATTCCAAATAATTGCAAACAGTGCAATGTCTTGATATTTTTTTCCTTAAAGACGTGCAGATCCATCTGTGTTCATGGACTTTGTGTAAATGATATGAATAATGTGTCAAATTAAAAATGAAAGTGTATATTTAAAAGAAACACCTCAGTTACAGTTGTTTAATTAGAAAATAATTGTGACAGCACAGAATGTTCCTTCTTACCACAACACGCAATAAATGCTCTAAGGGTGTGAATTTCAGCGGGGAATGACGTTACTGCAAAGACGATCCATTTTATCTATGGCTATAACATGAACAAATATGACAAGGTTTCTTATAAGTGTATAGGATGCTGCAAGTTAACATAAAAACAATTTTACTGTTTTAAGTGTCCATCTGCAGCTGTATTTGACTGAATTCATTCCATACTCTGATCTTTGAACAAGCAAATTTTCACAAATCATTATTAAACTACTATAATAAATAACTGAATAGATTAGTGTGATATCTGACCGAGTGTGGGGAGAAATAACCTGGATTCAAACAGTGAAACGCTCAAAACAGCTTTCCTCACCGGTGCCCTCTAGTGGTTTTGTCATGCGACTGTAACCAACCCAAGCATAATCTCTACATCTTTGTATTGACTTCATTCTGACTTTGCATATTTAAAAGCCAACCTTTGTGATGGGGATTACAAGCAGAGGCTCGTCCTCCGGCTCCAGGTCTTCTCCACTTCCATAGCAGAGAAGAGTTTGGCCTATGAGGACACAGAAGTAGTTTCCCCAGTGATCTGCATCCTCCTCAAGCTGAGTGAGAGCAATAAAGACACACGCAAGTAAATCAGAATCAAAGGGAGTTGTTGTGATTGGTGGTAAAAAAAAAAAAAAAAAGTTACAGTAAGCATTCACCTTGATCTTGAGTTGGCCCCTTATCGCTGGCTGAGTCATGCATAAAGGCAGAGCGACTAAGCGGCAGCACATGTTTCCATACAGAGGCAACCAGAATGGACTATCCTCTGTGGGAGGGGAAAAAGCCTAAAATCATACTTTAAAAAAATACAATAAGAGGGAAACAACAGGAAACTAGAAAATTCCGCAGAAATTTTGAGGGGCATGCCAAAGTGTGCCCGTCGCTTTTTAATCAAGCCTTCAATGCAAAAAATTAGCATTAATGCTAA